CTAAATCGTGCAACAATACCCGGTCATATGACCTCTTTGTTCCATACTGTATATATATATATATATCTGTGTCAATGTAAAGTACTTGTAACTGATAATGACAAAACCTTGTCGAAACGATGTTCATTTGCTGTTATGTTAAACTTATATTAAAGTTTTTCTTCATTACCCATTCAAGCCGTCTCCAAGCTTTAAAACTACACAAGGTCCATCTACGCATAGCTGTCCCTAATTTTGAACTGATAGATTAAAGTAAATACAGCTAATCAATAGCACCCACCGCCAACTCTTAAGCTACTCGTTTTCACCGAAATGTTGGAGCTGACCTTCACTTTTGTTACGCAAACGTGCGGGTCGCTAACCATGAATTTTCGGATTCACAGTTTGGTCACTTGGACACACCCAGTCCTATGGTATTTTTATGATTAAAAAAGAAACAACCTCTACCGATGAAACCAATATATAAAGTAAATAAGTTTTTTGTTTGCAGTAAATTTGTGTAAAACACATTGCTTTAAAAAAATGTTTAGCAAATATATATTTGAAATATTTTAGCTTATGTTTAATAAGCAATCAATGCGAAGCATATCACTAACTTTTCAACACTCACTTTGTATCAAGTTCTCTGAACATACTGACATTTAGAATGCATCACCACCAATAATTATTCCACTGTCTGTACATCTACAAACGCGATGATTTAGTAACAGGAGTCAAACTTTGTTTCAACCTGTTTTGCACATTGACGACACAATGATCAAACAACGGACTGAGTGTGTCACCAGATAGATAGATTTTTTTAATTCCTCAAAGAGCTTACATTCACAGTGAAAATAGTTTTTCTTCATCACCTACCTATTAATTTTTTTTAAATCTCCTAACTACGAAAACAAAATGACAATCAGTATCAACAGAAACGGCCACTTATTGGTTGTCCGTAAATTTCACACGCTTTACACGGTGTTTGTTATCATATAGTACTTGCTTACTATTATTACCTGATATTATTGTGGCTACAATCAGCTTTAATACAATGGTTCTATTGGTTTTTACCCACTAAAAAAAATTATCAGCACAGTAATACGTTTAAAGCACTTACTTCAGAGGTAACATGTTTGTATCTGTTTGAATCAGGATTTAGTAAAGTATTTATTATTACGTGTATATGTGTTGTAGGAAAGTGACTGTTACATGTAATAGATTTCATGAAAACAAAGTTTATGTTAATGTATTAACTACGTTTCTACAACTCTACACATTGCAGTGTTTTGTTCAGTGGTTCAGTATTATATGATTCTTTACATAATTTTCAATCATATCATATTAATTCGAATTATACTTGTTTTCATATTGTATTGTTTATTTCGCTGTTTTGACTATTGTTTTTAAGTCGTATGAAAAGACAATTTAGTATAAATGAAAGATGAACAAAGGTGACTTACACGTATTTTTAATATAACGTTTTAGGGTGATACACTTATGCACACGTATTCATTTCGATGTGTTTTGGTAGAATAAGAACCATATTCATAGTTGTGAGATAAAACATTTTAATGAACGCAGTTAATTTTCCTTGACGAAGTTGAACTGTACAATTTTTTCAAAACTCCCTCAGATGACAAAAAAGTAGTTATATTTATGACAAGACCAGAGGAAGGCAGCCAGTCAGCAACACCCTACTACCCACCATCTACGATAAGAGATTTACTGTCATCATTATAACGCACCCACATCAGAGCGGGGAATATTTTATGGTTTTGTAGAGATTCGAACCCGGTTCACCAGCTCCTAAATCCAGAGTACTGCCACAGGGTCAGTCCGCGTCCAACAGGAAAGAAGAGTTAACAAAGGTCAAACATTTGGCTCAGTTGTTTTTCCCATCCAGTAAAATAATGTTTCGAAAATTGGATACAACTGGTGGTGGCACTCCATCCATTAAAACTAGTAAATAAAATGTGTTGACTAACATACAAGGAGAACAAATATTGCGCCTACACAAAAATTAAATTGCAATTAGGTCACTATAAGCTTTGGTTTAGCAAGTGACAAACAAAAGCGACGTTGC